TTTCCCTTGGACTTGTTAAGTATGCCAAATGATACCTATGCAGTGGCTAAATGCCCAGTAGCCGTACATTTTTGAATGGCGAGCATTTCGTCTGTTTAAGACCGTGCCTGCTTCGCCACTGCAATTCTGTTTTTATAACGTGTAGCCGGAGTTTGTTTATCGAAACTTAGCCCAGGGAGTTTTGTTTGGTGTCATAAAAGCCTGTGTTTGCTGCGATGCTATCTACGATCGCGAAAATTTATTCATTGGCCACTATTCGCATTTCTGAAATACACTAAAAATCGATAAAAACTTGCCCAACAGAACGCGGTGCTTCTAAGCATATCAATTTGCACGTGCATGCAAATTTCAGTTTGATACGCACTTTGTGCAGAGGTCATAAAGGTTGTATCAATCATCAACCAATAATTCGTTTACCCGTATATTTCTATTTGCTCGATTGGTAGAATAGTATGCAAATTTTTTTTGATACATACCCTGTACAGAGGTCAAAATGGTTGTATCAGCGAGCAAATGTCTATCATTTCTACTGACTTGTAAACTAAACCGCGGCTCCTTACTCTCCATTAATGGCGGTCGGTTTAGTTTTCTTGGAGCAATCAGGAAACCCGTGCGAGAAACAAAGCGAGTAGACAGCGTGTATACTAGGACTATATTTTAGTCCAAGGAAATTGTTTCTCAGAGGTTTGTTATTAAGTTTGAGAACTTTAATGACTAAAACGTGAAGTTTCATATCTTTCGTACATGAGATGTATCTCATTTTTTCGGGAAACCTTAAGCTCGACTTTTTTGCTATTTTGTTTTGTCTTGTATCTTTTTTTTTTCATCTATAGCTTCATCAATGGTGTATTTTTTTCCTGGATTACTTGTTGTGCATCTGCATGCATTAATCTTCGACTCGAATTCTCCTTGTATCAACGTTTTTTTGATAATTTATCTACCCTCCTCCACGTTCCTACCACCTCAAAAGCCTCCCTATTTATGCTAGCGAGTGAACACCCTAGCTGTACCAGGGGTCCTTGACGGATAGTGCGTCCCTTTCTTCGCGACTTCGACAACCACTTTCTCTGATCTCGGGGCAGTTCAAGTTTTGCTCGCGATCTGTCTGTGATGTCCAATTATTATTTGATCAAAATTAAATTCTGAAGTAGGGAGAAGGAGGCTTATAAGGACAAAAACATTACTACGTGGCTGTATCATAGGTCACGAACGTTGTATCAAACTGACTTATTTGCTGCGCGCGCATCATAAGTTGCTGACTAGGTAGTTGTTCTTCCTCCTATCCTTCCCTCAGCCGCTTGTTTACTCCTCGTGCGTGTATTTTATATTAGGAATTATATTTAACACTTATTTGGATGGTTTATTAATGGGAAAGAACATCATTTAGGCCTCCAAGCTTGACAAACACGCTCATAAATTGGAATGTTTGATGACATAGAACGGAGAGCTAGACGCTAGCAACGCAATAGAACTTCAAGGAAGTAGGAGGCTCACCTATCTTGTGCGAGTGCGTTTTTGTAATAGTTAAGAAACCATCTGGTGTTTTCGTGATTGTGTCTATCGATCTATCTTCTCAGTGGAACGTAGTGATTAGCCAAAATTTTTGCATCTTCAAAGAAAGTTGTTATACTGATACTGTGAGTGTTGTCTACGTTGAGAAACTTGGTTCGAGGAAGTTGATTAGTATATTATCTCCTCACTAAAAAATTTAGATTTCTTCACAGTTTTTTTTTTACGAAGTGTGAATATGGGTTGGTTTCTACACTGCAAAAAGGCTAAGGTTTCTTTATAGCTTGTTGTCAAGAAGTTGAAATTATGTTGGTTTGTGAAATCTTCGATTTAACTTTGCAGTAATGGAGCACTCTCGACACGTAGAAGATGAGTCAAGTAGCGACGAGCGAGATCCCAAAAGGCACATGAGTGATAACGCTGGCTCAACAGCATGCGAGAAAGAAGCATTCAAGAAAAATGTTGTGTTGCTAGTGGGCTCTGATGTGCAAAAAAAAGACGGCAAAGTCTACATGCCGAACAATAAGGAAATGGTTCGTTTGAAGGGGCTCGAACGAGGGCAATTTAAAAAGGATGTTAAGTTCACCAAGACTATGACAGAAAAAGATGTGGAGGAAGAGCTCCGCCACCATTTTCCGATTTTAAGAAATTATGACAGGTATTCCTGCTATTCCTGTTTTCATTTTTATTTAAATAAACTAGTATTAAAGGTATCACAGAAAGAAAAAGAATTAATTTTCTTTAATTTTCCTGAAAATTTAATATCTTATATATATGTATATAAAGATGAATCAACTTCCGAGGAGGATATAACACAAAAGGTAATTTGAGAATAGAACGGAAGGAGTGAGATTGGTGTCTGTTGAATTTCAAAGCACACTGTACAGTTTTGTACAGTTCCAAAATCATTCATACATTTTCAAGTCTACTTGTATTAGTTCTTTCGGAAAGGTAGAGGGATTTTTTTTTGCAATTCATTTGTTGTCTTCAAGCTGTTAACATGTCCAAAAACAACAAGTCCTTTTTGCCGTTCCAGCAGGCAAACAGTGTCAAATGGCTTGCTCCAATGTGATTGGTTAACAGCCTTCACTGGCAATTGATATTGAAACATTTCTGTGAACAAATAGTGACGCCCTGAAAAATTTCAAGTCACTTTTTCTGTTAGAGTGTTTGGCTTGAGTTCTGATCTTTGGGGAGTTTATTTTAGGCTGGTATTTGGTCAATTTGTGTGAAATTTTGTGATAATGTTTGAAATATATTGAACCCCCAAAGAGTCTTCCAGATATTTTTATCATTTCCTCATTTCTTGAGATCTAGCATCCAAACTGAAAACTTTTCTCACAAGTGCTACTTTGAAGTTGGAAAAATGAGGCATTAAAATACAAATCCCAGACACCCTATTTTGGTTCAATGTGTGCAGATCACAATGCATGTCTATGTTTTAGCGATTGTTTAGCATTATTAGGTTGGAAAATCTGTACTGGGTCACTGACAAACCCATTAATTTTTTTTGGATTCGGAAAATTAAGAGGGGGAAGGGGGTGAGTTTCTGCGTAGTCCCTGTTCATAAATAGTATGCTCAAATTAAGTCTAGCAGTTCAATATCAATATCCATAGCTGCTTACACTTTTGGAGTGGTGCCCTGTACGTACTTCAACCCACTATTGTATAACTGATGTTTTTTCTCATGAATTTATTCATTGTCACCACAAACTTTTAGATTAAGCTGTGCCGCAGCTGCAGACGAAAGAACAAGACTGGAGTTCCACAACAGCTCAAGATCATTATGGAATGGAACCAAGATTAACAGGCGTATCAGGGGGAATTCTGCCCTATATGTACTTTGCGAGGTTTGAATGAAAAAATGCTTTGCTATATAGCTGTGCATATATGTAGATTTTCTGGGTGATTCAAGAAGGCTTTTTACATGATAGAATTACGGTATTTCTTTTAACGGTTAACATTAGAATTAGCATAAACGTCTGCTCTCAAGCAAGGAGCATAAGCATGAAGCAGCAAGGAGTAGTGGTACTCCCTCTGCTTGGGGAGCTATTTCCTGACTGGTTCTGCCCAATCATATTTCTTTCAAAATAAAACTTTTAGTTTTAATATGATGGTGCAGAAATCTCCTCCCTATTTAACACGACAACTAAACCAGAAATTTTAGTCTTTTAGAAGGATAAGTTTTTCTTAGCGATTCTAGAAAACACTCTTTTACAACACTGTTTTGGGAGATATCTTGGAATTTTGTTAAAAAAGGCTGAGAGTTACTGGTGTTTTCAAAGTTACCAGCTCTGAAGAGAGGTAAACTATTGAGGCCACATAAAAGCCATATAATTAGGTAATTGTACAGATTTGCTAGTTTATCTCCTTTATCCTAGAATTTAATAAAGTGTATGTATTTTCACTCTGACTAGGTAACTCCTGAATCAGGTTGTAGTTCTCTACAACAACTGCCACCCATGCCTGAAACAATGGGTAAGATGGAATATGTGTGTATGTGTATGTAAGCTACAAAATGATTGTAATACTTGTTATTACGCTGTTTCTACGAGATAAAGGCAATTATAAGTTGAACAAGCAAAAAAATTCCAGGGCAATCACACTACATGTATTTTAAAAAAAAGTGCAGGGCAAAAACATAGATGGAAAGCAGACCAACAAAATGGTCACTCCTAACTATCCAAACAGATTTTTTGGTCACAGTTATAAGAACACGGTTGATATGATTTGGTGTTGCTTTTGCCTTTTGCATGTGCTAGGTGCAATTACGGTTGAACCTTTGTTATCTGGACTGGGTTGAATGATCCTGATAATCAAGAATTCAGCTGATCAAAATGTGAATATTATTGACAGAGGCAAAAAATAAAACTAAAGTTGTATCATTTTATCAATATTACACATGAAGTTATGGACATTCTCAAATCATTGCGTGCCATTGTTAACAAATGCCAAAAGTATTTCAAAAAAATTAAAGCTGACCAACAACGTTTTACAACATAAAAATTGCTGATGTAAATCAGTTTGTTGCAAGCTGCATGCTGTGGGTGTAATTATTTAATGGAATAGTGTAAACATTCTTTCAGTACATCGCTTTATTTCATGGGAAAAAGTAATGTTATGGATCTTGAATTTGACTACTTAATATTTCTAAAAAAATGGGACCAAAGAAGTGCATAAGTCTGAGTTATGGAGGTTCAACTGTAGCTCTTTTCTGAGATAATGCCCCACTATAATAAACAAAGGATTTAATTCAAAAGCAAAGAGCCAAAACACTAGAAAATGGATAAACAATTAGTGGAATCATAAGGATAAAACTGATCCCATTGTCAGTGATTTTGGTCATTTGTGATGATTATTAAGGAGAAGTTTAAATCTTGAAGATGAAATTGGTTTTCAGAATATACACAGTTACTGTAGCTTCTTATTGAAAAAATTCTCCTATTTGTTCCATTCACCTCTCGCAAATTTTTCAGGAAAGCTTCAAAGATTGAAAAGAAAACCTGATTCCAGCTCTTCATCTGCACCAGAAGTAGTTCCAAATAGAGGGAAGCAAGGTAAACAACATGAAAATTATTCTGTGAAATGTTCTTTTACTTTAATGACAGTTGTATGAGATATGCAAATAAGTGCATAAAAGAAAGGCAAGATTTCTGCTGAAAATAATTAAGAAATAGCATCGATGTCTAACAAATTGAAAGGGTACTTCTCTCGGATTTAATGTTTTCAGTTTAGATGATTAAGCATGTAGGGTTTACATAAGTTACTACTGCTTCCATGTAATGACAAATTCTTTAAAGTTTTCATCTTTAAAAATAAATGATGCTCCATGTCTGTAGCAGTGACCCCAGGATTGGAAAGTTATTCATTGCTTGTTTCTTGCAATACCTAAATTCATAATGAACTGCCATTAAAAAAAATTATGAAGAAATCAAACAACAATAGAAATTTAGCCCTATACATGAAAGGTTACTAACCCTGTGTAAACTTTCTTTGATGAATGTTTACGTTTTGTATTAAAACACTTTGTTGATAGTATTGGAGGGTACAAGTTGCCTTAAAGGTAGCAAAGAAGGAGAGCAGCAATCTTGTCAGGAGCAAGGAGATCACAGTGGCAACCCAACCACAAGCCTCCTTTGCAATTCAGGCACTAGTCAACAAACACAAAACCCAAAAATTGGTGAGTTCAGTGAAAACTTACCTAAAAGTGGTGGGAAAGGGGTTAGGATTGTGGTTAGGGTTGGCAATTAGGGGGTCGGAGGGAGGAAAACAAAGCAAACAAAGGAGCTAAGCAAATTGAGTAAAAGTTTTACCAGGAATTCCCCTGACAACCTCTGCATGATTTGGTTTTAACCATGTTTAAATTTTACTCATTTGAGAAACATGAGAAACAAAATGATTTTTTTGATTTCTCCTCCACTGAATTGATTAATCAGGTTGGTACAACTGTCAAAATTTAACTGCTTAATTCACCTCTTTTAATAAGCAAAGATGTTGAGTTCAGGAATATACGACTTCACAGACTCTTTGATGGACTCTTTCTTGTCTGTAACACCTAACATCCAGGTTTGAAACCAAGTTCTGGAGAAGATCACGCTAAGGAATCCCAAGTTAAAAAGGTACTTTTGATAATGATTTCAGTTGTTGTTTATTTTATCAGTGTATGTGCAGGTGTTTACATGAATTCAAGTGTAATTTGGAAAAAAAACAAGCTTGAATAATTTTTGCTAAGACCTAAAAAATTGCTCAAGTCCTTTTGGCTATAAACAAGTTAAAAGATGATGATTCTACTTTATCAACACAATGTTTCCATAAATTATTAAATGAGTATAAAATTTATGAAAGAACTGCATATTAGGCTTTTTTTCTTTAATGGTAGTGGTAGAATCATCACATCACTGTAATTTCTGTTCCTTAAGTTCTATGACTATAAATTCTCTTCTGCCATTTTACAAAAGATGTCTCTCAGTGAGACTTTGCAACATTATCCAAGTTTACTCCAATCTGCATGCCTGTGCTTTTACATAACGTAAAATCTTTTTTCAATCAAAAACTGTACAACTTTGGTTTAATTCATTTCGTTGATGTTATCTGATAATCCCCTGATTGATTTTTTTCATTCTCATCACTTGTCTGCTTGATATTTAATTGATACTGTAAGGAGAAGTTTAGACTTGGTCACTCATGGTAGTTTCAAAAAGTGGATAAATATGTTTTACTCTCTCCCTGCCAATTGGAAACAAATGGTATCAAGCACAACAAAGGATCTTTTAGTCCCAAACTCAGCATTGTTCAACTATGGCATTAAATCCCTGTCAAAATTCAATTGTTAAGCGGTGGGCAGCCATAATATTTGACTTTTACTCTGCAATCAACCCTGAAGATGGATAAAAATGTGTACTTTGTGATGCAACATGGTGCTGCATGCTGCATCAAACTCAAAATACTGCTATTATGACTCCTAATGCTTATGTTCAAAATGAATCTGTAGGTCCAAGTACTACTCAATTTGTTCATCCATGTTAAGTAATTCTGTTGTTCCCCTCAAAACACGTAATGCTATGTACACCAGCAAGGCATGCTGGTTGGGCTTGCAGTGTGCATGTTTGACCTGTGGTAGGTGTGACTGAGTCAGCCAAGTGTGAAGTTCAAATGAAAACTTGCATTTTGAATTCAAAACTTAAAATTTGAGCAAAGAATTTAATGCATGAGGAAATCTTGAATGTTCAAAGGAAGACTTGAATGTTGGTGTAAAGATTTGATTGTTGAAGCAAATAGTTGAGTTTTGAAGAAAAAACTTCAACTTTGAATCTTTTTTGGCATGTTTCTGCAACTTAGATTGATTGCAGTAAGGTATGCGTTTTAAGGCAAAGAAGGGCTTTTGTTCTTAAAAGTTCATTTTTAAATTGCTAACATGACATTTAACAGAAAAAATTGAATGATGAAAATAAAACTGGAATGTTGAAAACAGAACTTGAATGTTGAAAATAAATCAAATGTCAGGCCATATTTAGGCTCTTGTTTGGCCAGACATTTTCATACTGGTTAAGTTCCTGTGTAATTTTTTTTTGCATTTAAAGTAGTTTATTTTTGTTCTTTCTCTGTACTTCCAGGTTAGGAGATATGCTGAAAGTAAAAACTCCTCAGAGTCTGGTTTTGAATCTACTGTCGAGGATGCATCTGGTGTTGATGACAACACCGAGCATTCAACAGGTAAAATGTATTTAATGGCTGTTGTGGAAATAGTGGTATCAATTTAGTTTGAATGCTTGCCATTGCTCATCTAATAAAAGGGATAAGTGACAACTGAGGGAGGAAAGATTGATCTCAGATCTGTTCAGTACTGATTTTCATAAACATTATGATAACTAAAGCTCCAAATGGCTAAGCAGGCTTGCAGTCAAAGCCCTGGGTTTCTTCTTGTACCAAATTGTTACTAACTGAAATTCGAATATGGAAGTGACCCTTGCAGTTATGAACACTATTTAAGCAGTGGTGAAAATACTGTAGGGCCTGAAAAAATTTCTGGCTTGTATGGGATTTGCACCCATGAATTCATAGGTCATGGGTCACGAGTCATGGGTTCAAATCCCGTACAGGCCTGAATTTTTTTCAGGCTTTATTTTCACTACTACTTATTTTAATAATTAGTATTCATAACTGCGAGGATTGCTTCCATATTCGTTTCTTCAACCACAGTTCACATATATGATTTTCAAATATTTACAGTCATTTATTAGCTGAAATCCATTCCAAACTATTAGAGTTCGACCTCAATTTAAAATAAATTAATGTCCACCAATCAATTAAAGCATGATACAACTGGTGTCTTCTATGCAGACTAAAATTGGAGCTTTTTCATTGTTACGGTTGCTTTTTTTAAGGTTAATTTAGTAGTATCATGCTGTTTACTTTTATCTGTCAGATAGTACCCTTCCTTTTTGAACATTAATTCACTGAAGCTGCTCTGTGAATATTTTATCTGATGAGTTAACTTTATGATGATAATTAAGTGTTCATTCTTAATTGGTGTTTATTGATTGGTGTATTACTTAGGAAAAACTGAAGAAGCAGCTAGTCGCAGTATGGGAATGGAACGCTATTTGCAAAATTCCTCAATGGAGTAAGTGAAATTTATTTTTGTTTCTCGCTTCTCAAGAGGGAATCAAACTTAATTGCACAACTGTTATGTGCAGATCAATTCGTAGCCTCAACACCTGCCCCCCCAAATGGACAACCCATGGGCTTGTGACCATCTTCAGTACCTGGAGGGTGGGGGACTTGAACTTAATAGTTTGCCTGGCTGGGATGAGGAATTTGAGCCAGAAGTGTCATTAGTCTTTCCAGCTGAATTAGGTGTTAATGCTTTAAATATGGAGATGTTTTTAGGCAAATAGTTCAATCACTTCTGAGAGTAAATGGCAAGGAACAAAAGGTCTACAAGGAGTCATGGTTACTGCATAATTTTGCCTATTACCAAGAAAATGGGGTGGGTCATTTGAACACTACTTTTGCCCTGGGGGTGGGAATTTTTACTAACCAATCTTCAAAAGTTAAAATGCCAAAGGTGTTACTTGGTGGGGATTTTGAAGCTTCAAATTGATTGATGGCGCTTCATAATCAAACTGCTATATCAATGACATGAAGCCTAAGAAATTATCTGTGCTAAAATTGGACATGTTGAACTGTTCACAAATGAACAACAAACTGTCATGTTATCAAATTTAACATGAAAATAATTATGGGATATTAAAGACAAATTTTGTTCACCATTGCACCAAAAAAATATACACAGTGCAACCTTTATTGTTTATCCTAACCTGTGATTACTATTTGATATGTTTTAAAAGCCAAATCTTGACATCATGTTTCTTATTTTATGGACCAAACACGTGCAACTCAAGGGAAGTACTGGTAGTAACTGTATAGTAAGTTGATTAAACCAGATCTGCCTTTTTTTGTTGCAAATCTGCTGAAACTGTTGATCTGTATGAATTATCTGTAGCCCTTCAGAAGGATCAAGCTTGGAAGGTAAACTAAAAATATTTTTGTTTATTTGTAAATGCAACTATGTGCAATGTGTTTCACACCAACTAATAACTGTGGCTATACTATTCACAAAGTCACAGTCATTCCTGTAAACTGCACAATTTCAGAGCAATATTTTCCTTTAAAAAGTAACACATTAGTACATTCTGAAATTTTAGCTAGGGGAATCAAGTTTTAAAATGATTGATACTTATTATGAAAAAAATGTTTTTTAAAGAAAACTCTTGTAGACAAGCAATAGAATGCTTTCATATTTAGTAAGTACTCTTCATGGTTTGCTTCCAACTTTGGTTGCTGTATAGTCCCTTGGGTGTATAATTTGAATCAAGTGATTTACTTGCTGAGTAAAGAAAGGTTTTACCGTAAAAGAGCAGATTATGAGAACAATTTATGGGCGAAAGAAAACTTTTACATGTCTTAACTTCTGAAGTAACCCCACTTAAGTTAATTGCCTGTATTCATGGGTGCCTGAGCTTGCTTGTCTTACAATTCTTAGGTGCCTTTGCATGCTGTTGACGGAATTTCTTATGGGTTATTGGGGAAATTTCAAAAGTCATTGAGGGGATAAAAGGTGCTAAACCAGCTATGCACTAGATGACTTGTCTAAATTCTTATCAATACAATATATAGAGGTTAAAGGTTATTTACAAGCTAATTTTATGGCACAACTTTCTTTTTTGATTTGATCATTTCATAGAAATCTTTCCACAAAGGATTGCCACTGATGATCAGGTATGGTAAATTTTTAAGCCAAACTTCTCATCAACTATATGATATTTATTTATGACTCAGAAGTAGAGTCCAGTTTTTAAGCCTGTAGTCATAGACACATTACTTCAGATGAGTGATTATACTATTATGCTTACTATTGCACCATTTTCTTTTTATCTTGTTTCCTGAACAGGGGAGCTTGTCTGACAGAGAGGTCAACGAAATCTATCAAGATGTCCTGGGAATCTCCATTTTTGAGCCAGGTAGTTATTGTTATCTTTTGTTTCTGTAATAAGCCATAAAATGAAAAGAACATGATGTTTGTAAATCTCAATTATCCTAACTTGATGGCTGAAAGGAAGTGTAAGAATTGATCTGTTGGCTTAAGCTGATGGATCCTAAGCTTGGAGGCTGTTCCTTTTTCCTAAAAGTCCTCTCTATATCAGTGTTCATGCCTCCCTCACACTCCCAATACAACTGTAAGGTTAACTCATTTTCCATTTAACCTGTAGCTTGTGGCTGGATTAATTGAACTTTGAAGGGGACCATGTTGAATCAACCAGAAATTTATCCCTCCTGTTCAGCGTTCCAAATAATTTGTCTCTAGATCTACCAAAAGCTATTAAATTTATGTTAGCTAATAATGTAATATTGGTGTTACTTTTTTATCAGCATTACAGGTGACGAAAATTCTTCAATTTCTTTTAACTTTTTTCTCCTCCTTGATTGCAGTGATAATAAGACTTTGCCCCAAAGAAGGCCCCATAACGGTATTTACTATTATTATTATTATTATCATTATCATTATTATTATCATCACTATTTTTATTTAATAATTTTTTAAACTTATAACTAAGCAAAAATAAGAGTTTGATCTACCGGTTGCTTTGGCAAAAAAGGGAAGGATCCCATAGAAGACCTGGTAACTACGAAGTTAAGAAAGAATGACCCACAATGATTTAAATTTCCTTACTATTGTTTGAAACTAGTTTAAATGGCCTTTACATAGACCTTTGGACTCTTTTCGTGGCTCACAACCACTTTTACTAATGAAAACCCGCTGATCACGGAGTAGCATTATGGATTATAGAGTCACTCGTAATTAGTCGTAATTAGACTCGCAGTGCGCAATTGAAACCACACCATCCATGTGGGAAGAAAGACAATGATACCTAATTGTTTTTCGACACCTCATGGTATTCTGCTTTTTTTTAAAAATTATTCATCCTACTTATTCTTCGTATTGTGTTGATCTTTATCACTGAATAGGGTGGTACAGAGTTTCTTATTTGCCTAAATGTAAATGGTATTCCAGAAAATGTCGCATCACTGAGAGCTCTATTTAAGGGAGTTGGATTTGCAGACTTAAAACCAGTTATTGAAGGTGTCTACGCTGGGCGTAGCCCAGGTATGTTGATTTATCATGGTAATAGGACCGAGTAGAGTCCAGTTCGGTCTGTAATTATACGAGTGATTAACAAAATCGGACGACCGCGAAGCGAGAGTCCGATTTGCTAATCACGAGTATGATTTCACGAGTAATCACGAGTATGGTCATCGGTTTGGAAAAAGTGGTGTTTAGAGCAGGGAATTGCCAAGGAAATCGAAAATTACGAGCCGACCCAGCTTAACACTTTGCTCGAGCGATCCAACGCCGAAATTAAAAACAAACATGGTTCAACCTCGGAAACGACGAATCCATTTCATCGGAAGTGATTCTGAAACAGATTGGACAATTCCTTGAACTGTTTAGCCGGACTTTGAACTTTTTTGCGCCTTAAAGATTTGAAGATATCATTGCATATTATTGTTTTGATCGTACGCGGTTGTTTTGACCGAAGGCACGGTTAGAATAAATTATTTTTGCACTTGATGCGCACGCTTTGCTTATGTTTAATTATGATTAGCCATCTCGTATTTTTTCATGTATATTATTAACACGTAATCACATGATTTTTCTCGTGGAATTTGGAATAAACAAGCACTTGTTAATTTTTTCAAATACCACAAATTGCACTCGCCCTAGGGCTCGTGCAATTTTGTTAGTCTTTAAAAAAATGTACTCGTGCTTATTTATTCCAAATTGCACTCGAAATCATGTGATTACCTATACGAACTGGATAACGCGAATTCTCGTTACCAATTAATCAAAACAGGAATGACGTGTTATATGTTCCCTTAACTGTCCTATTAACACTGTCCAATCACAAGCATGGCGCGCACACTGTCCTACTACTGCTCAAATCGGGCTGGTGATAGCCAATCACGTTCAATAATTTTGTTATTGTTTTGATTGTATCTGAAATTTCTGTTACATTTTGATGTCAAAGTAAATCAGCAGGCTAATTCAAAATTTTGCCAAATGAAAGCCAAAGTTGTAAGTAAATGGAAAAAGTATCATCATCAGTAATTCTTTTCGCATACAGCTGTTTCGAGAAAGATTATAAAAAAAGGGTCAAAAGTGCACGCAACAATCTCGATAGGTAATATGGGTATCCGATTATCAATAAAGTTTGATAATCAAGTAAATAAATGAATTCGTCAAACCCGTGCTGCTTCGTCCTTACAGTGACGTTTTTCTCAGATTTCCTTGCAATCCTGAGGTCAAGGAACCGTTACCTAAAAAGTTTCTTACTGATTTTTCATTTCAGCCTCTGAAATTCTTGGGAAGGTCGCCGTTACCGTGGGTTCTCCAGATGGTACCTGGAACTCGCTCGATGAAACGGAATTCGAATACCATCGGAATGTTACTCAAGAGCTCCAAAAACTGATTAGTAAAATGCCTGACACAAAGAGAAACATACCACTGGACTACCAAACGTTAAATCCTTCCCTTTCAGCAGGAACAGGTCAGACTCTCTGTTTGTTTCTTAAGTTGTATACAGCGTATGGCGTCTTACTCTGTGACGACAATCATTTGATTAACATCTACAAGTCGATTAAGTTAGATAAGCCACTGTAAAAAATTTCGAAAGCTGGCGTTTGGAGTTGTAGCCCTTCTTCGCAGTAAAGTGGAGGATTGTGGGTTGTAAACACGTACTTCTAGCTTCAGTAACTTTCATGGACAGAAAGTACTTTATAATGTTAGTGGCGTTTTCTGCGTGTCATGTGATTGGCTATGAAGTTTGATGATGAGCCATTGCCATGTTTGATAATTTTTTTTAATTTTGATAGTGTGCAGTCCGTCTTCCTCCTTGTCTGTGGTGGATAAACCATTGATGGCAGATGAGAGCATGGACATATTGTCACTGAAAGCTCTACAGTGTATACTATTCGCAGCCGCTGCAACGAATGATCGCGAATGTATTGAAATAATCTTCAGTACTTCAGCCGGAGAAGCAGTCTTTCAAACTTACAGGAACAGCTCCATCTTGCCAGAAGACACTGCCAGAGCTAGGGGACATCAAAACTTAGCAGAATACCTTCAAAACGTTCACAAAAGGTGTTGATTCTATTAGTCATACGTGGATAAAATCTACTTTCAAGACTGGGCGATATCGCTGCCAAATCGTATCACGCTTTCTGTAAAAGGGATTGATCGAACATTTTGCTCCAGCAAGTAACCCTTAAGTGTTCCCTCAGGTTCTCCTTGACTTAGGTGGTACCAATACATACGTCTGAGGGGATAGAGGCTACGCACAGTGTACTGCCCAAGAGTATTACTCATCGACCCGGGAAGGTTTCAAACCTGAACCTTTCATTCTGGAGTCCGTAGCGGAAGGGTTGCCTAACATAAACGACTAGATTTTCGCCGTGCAACTTCCTTAGCCCATGGGAATACCGTAAGTCTAGGGCTGAAAATATAAAAAAACTGTCCAAAATGCCGTTGTTAGTGGTCGAAGTATTTCAGAGCGCTAACTATTTGTTGAGGAATTATTTCTGATTGATTTCATCCTCGGTAATTTGGGCTGAAGAGTGGCTGCATTACTGAATTAATTTCTTGTGTCGTCGCAGGTTGTCAGAAGAAATCGTTTGTAATGTTCAGACTGTTACTATTGATTGGGTAGAACTCAAGCGTGCGAGTGCCAAGAAGGATATCTGTTGTGAGCCTAACATATATTTTTTTCAATTTATATCCAATTCAAACAAACTTGTTCTCAAGAGTTTTAGTTGGCTAATAAGTAAGTTTATTGTACCATCGTACTTGAGATTTTAACCGATGTTTTCTGTAAATATATTCAAATATTTCTTCATTATTACTTAAACTTTACCCAGAGTCACATCAGAAGCTGCTTCGAACAATAATTACTTCTCACTTTTTGAGTCAAGAGTCACTTAGTAGGCTTGAAATGCCCATTTTTTTCTTCTGGTTACAGCAGGCACTGATGAATCCCAAGCTTTGGAATCCGAAAGTTTTCTGGAAAGTGATGACGATCAAAGCAGCTACTTCGCGGACGATGAGACATCAATTTGTCAGTCACCGTCAGCCAGTGAATTTTCAATTGAGGATGAGTGCATTAAATCAAAATGTGAGCTTCCACTTTTACTTGCAATTCAGTAGTACCATGACTTCAGATACGTCAGATACGTTTTCTTACCTACGTTGTGTCCGTATCACAACGTAAGAGTCGCTTAGTAGGCTTTAAATGCCTATTTTTTTCTTCTGGTTACAGCAGGCACTGATGAATCCCAAGCTTTGGAACCCGATAGTTCTCTGGAAAGTGATGATGATCAAAGCAACAACTACGCGGACGATGAGACATCAATTTGTCAGTCACCGTCAGCCAGTGAATTTTCAATTGAGGATGAGTGCATTAAATCAAAATGTGAGCTTCCACTTTTACTTGCAATTCAGTAGTACCATGACTTCAGATACGTCAGATACGTTTTCTTACCTACGTTGTGTCCGTATCACAACGTAAGAGTCGCTTAGTAGGCTTTAAATGCCTATTTTTTTCTTCTGGTTACAGCAGGCACTGATGAATCCCAAGCTTTGGAACCCGATAGTTCTCTGGAAAGTGATGATGATCAAAGCAACTACTTCGCGGACGATGAGACATCAATTTGTCAGTCACCGTCAGCCAGTGAATTTTCAATTGAGGATGAGTGCATTAAATCAAAAAGTGAGCTTCCACTTTTACTTGCAATTCAGTAGTACCATGACTTCAGATACGTCAGATACGTTTTCTTACCTACGTTGTGTCCGTATCACACTGGATTTTTAAAAATGGACTTGATGTTATGTTTTATAGATATGCAAGCCGATGGAGGTATCAGAAACCCGGTCTATGATACGTCTATGATGGGAATGATTTTGCCACAAGATGACGTAGCTGTAAGCAGTGTCCCATTGACAGAGAAGTTGGCCTTAATCATGGAATCAGAAGAGGGATTACAGAATCTAGAGGCTGTTCGGAGTACAGATAAAAATCTAAGGAACTTACACGACAACGTTGAATCGAAAACGATAGCGGAAGTGGGAGTGATTTTGCCACAAGATAACGAAGGCGCTTTGACAGCCACAACAAACATTACTTTCTACGACTTTAATTTTCAGCCTCGCAGTATTTCGTTGCGACACCAGAAATCAGCCAAAGTAGACTTAAATATAGAAATATGTGAAAACGTAGTAGCGGGTGATTGCGCGGAAGTGAACATCTGCTGTGACAAAGATCTGTTTAATCAGAATAATAGGTTAAAGTCAACCTCTTTCGGATCGAATGAAAGTGATTCTCTCTTGCAAGCCGATGGAGGTATCAGAAATCCGGTCTATTCGCCAGGAAAACAACGGAGGAAGCGATCTTCACAGAAGAAAAGTGGCAAAAATCATGCTTTAAAAAAGAATTCCTCAAGGAAAATGAAAGCAGAATGGCAATTTCCTTTGCGTTTGTCAGATTTTACAGACAATGAGAGACAGGAGAAAGACATTGATCAGTGGCTCAAAAAACTTATACCGTCCTTGCTTCCTAAAATCAAAGACCTGGATGATTTCGAGTCGGTAATAGAGCCTATGGAAGAAGATGGCCGAAGACTTCGAGAAAGTTCAATTCCAAACTACATTGAAAAACTTAATTGCGTCATTCGAACAGTACTGATGATGTCGCTGATGGAAGAGGAAGACAAGGAAAAATACCAGACGCTACAGATCGAACTTCAGTTTGCATTAGCAGAGTTTTACATCAAGGAAGATTATCTTAAAGCTTTAAACTGTTTGAGAGCACTGGAGAGAGATCTCACACTGCGTGAAGGATTCGAAAGTCAAAAAGGTAGACTCTACGCCAAAATGGCCAAAGTTATGGAACTTTGCTTAGAATTTTCCAAAGACTTAACCAGCGTTGAAAACGAGCTTGAAATCGCTCCTGAAACCCAGCTTACTGACCAAAACCCAGATGATGTTGTGTTGAGTTACTTTCAGAAAGCTTTGGAGTCGAGCAACAACGACGCTTTACTTCAAATATCTTGTTTTTTAGGAAAGGCAGCTGTCTTATTGAAATGCTGCAAGGGAAAAAATGAAACTAGAAATTTGACACAGGTGCGAGAGAATTTGGAATCAACAGAAATCCTCTTCGATCGTATTTCTCCAGCCTTGAAATGCCAATTTTACTTGGCTGAAGCATTTCTACTTTACTATGAAGGACGGTACAAAATGGCGAAATACAAACTAGACACACTGATGGCTCGTGAAATCATGATGGACAACGATGAACACCTCATGGAGAGGTTGGAAAGGGAGTGCTTAGGCTCTAAAAGGTTTCGGTTTCTAACAGAGGAATTAGAAAAAGCACTGGCAGAAACAATTTCCTGTGGAGAGACAGGTTTCGAACAGAGAGACTTTCTTAAAGATTTGCATCAAATACAAGGACATCTGTAAATCAATATTACAAGCGCCAGTTTATTTGCAAGGAAATAGTACCGCTTATTTCAAATTTTTCAAACATTGTGTGATCAAATGTAGTTTAAAATGAATAAATAATTTTTTTGGGATTGAATTTAAAGCCAGAGGCAAACCTTTTCCATCGCCGAAGTGTGAGGAAAACCTAAAGTATTGGGAAACTAAACAGCTAGAATTCATCTGTTTATGCTTAAGTGTTTCCTTTGTCATTAAAGTTGAACTAAAAATTTTCTCCGTGATGAAAGCCGTAACTGTCTTTTTTTTTACGATATCTTTTCCAGTCAAATCGAAAGCTGACCATAACAAAGATCTTGAATACCAAAGTGAATACCAAAGTGACGAAGACGTCTGTCGAGGGTAGCAAGACTCCAATTATATTGGGGAAAATCACGTTGCATAAAATCAAGAACCTCTGATCTCTTTAGATTTTGGCTAACATATGTTTTTAAGTCTTGTTCCAACTGATCGTCCTCCTCCCATTCACTCTTTGAGGCCATAATTAGAGCAATCCACGATCAGCATTCATTCGCCATTCGCCGAAAACAAAGCCCAGTCCCAGTCCTTTCCGCGTGGGATGTTAACGCTGGTCCGCTCGGAGAAGTCAATTTTTTTTTCTGTTTTGTTACTTCGATAGTCTTAAAGATTTTTTTTCTTTTTCAAATGCATTATCCTTTTTATATTCAGTTTTAAAACACACTTGCTTTTATGATTGATTTTTGCTTTGAAAATCAATTTTAACTCTAAAACAGAAGTGAAATTATAAACGAAGTGAAGATTCAGTATACATTGTAAATAGTATTTGAAATGAAATCGATAATGATATAATCAAATTCAACATTGGTTTTCAGTTATTGCTGCAAAAAATAACATGATAATGCTGGGCCACCATAATGTAGTTAAGGATTTTACAACTTAAGCAACGAGTTGCGAATGGTTCTGTTTCGTCATTAAAATTGTATGTAGATATTTTTGTAAGCGCTTTTGATAATCAGCAATCGCAGATCGTTTTTACCAAAACCGAGTTTTTCGTAACTTTTGTTTGTAATCACACACTACCATCGCTGTGTGATTACTGTTGTAGTGAAAACGAAGACCCTCGAAAACAAAGACCCAAGACCCGAAAACGAAGGCCTTTTCATGATCTTGATACAGGAACTGCGTCTCACGCACTACGGCTTCACCGTTGAAAAACAGTTAAAAGCTTGCCAACTTCTCTGCTCGCAACGTGATCATTCATCAGTTGAAAAAAGCGAAATCGCCGACGATTACATTAAACGCTAAACCTGAGATCGCTTTATTTCCCATAATTTTCTTATTCCGTGCTTTCTTAACTTGTTTCCTAAACCACTAGTGCCTTTCACAATTTCTAAGCGCTGCCTTAAGAGCTTGCAGATGTCAACTTTCGACCCGGCTGGCGCCAGTAGGTGTTACGGCGTTGCTCTTCTTTCATACAAGCCGGTCCAGCTGCTCTCCAAACAAGCCGGTCTAACAGGACAAATGCCATAATAAAGTATTTTCAGTGTTGCGTGAAGGCAGATTTCCTTCCTTCCTTTCCTTTCCTTTCCTTCCTTCCTTCCTCACAGAGAAGATAGTTTAGCAGCTGTAGCGGTTTTTACGAAACTTTTAGATCTCGATTTAGAAAACTTAAGCAGAGACAAGTTTGAGACGCAGGCGCCAACCAGAAGAAGAAAAAACTAAGAAAAGCGTGCTTTGATGTCAGTAGATCGACTGAGAGGCCGTCAATGTAGCAGTTTAAACTAACTTGTGCTGACCAACAAGGTATAGTAAGCATTGGGAAGAATGCAACAAATAAACACGGTTCTTATAGGCACTTAGTCGCGTTTGATCACATCCTTTTGACTGCACACTTCTTCGCTCTGAGATAGATTAAAAGCGGAGCTGGATATTTCCGGCGATAAAACCATAACAAGATCATATTAAATAAAGGAAATAAAGGGGTCTTCGTTTTCGGATCTGTGCTTTCGGGTCTTCGTTTTCGGGTCTTAGGTCTTAGGTCTTTTCTTTCCGGGGTCTTCGTTTTCGCTACAACCGTGTGATTACATCGTAGTAGTGATAGGTATTACGCATTCAATTTATCTTCCCTTTATTCTTACCCGGCATTTTCACGACCTGACATTCTAAAAGTTCTACCGTCGCTTTCCAACTATGGAAATTTGGGCAAGTACGTAATGTATGGGTAATTATTATCCCCAATACATATTATGTCCTTTACTTTACATACATATAATGTCCTACACTTTACATATAATAAATCCCCATGCATGACCTAACTAGGGAAATTTGCAGGAAGCCTTCTGGTCAAAATATTGCTGGCTCATTCTTTAAGTTACGCTATTCAACGCCGGCAACTCTTAATCGAGAGAGATGTAGATTTACATATAGTTCTAGATTGCTTTGAGAAAAAAATGAAGATATTTGACGATCGAAGCGAGCAAATACACTTATAGAGATCTGTAGAATATTCTGAAATTATTATCTAGTAGAGAGCGTGAACATCAAAAAGTCTTCGGGTCACGCCACAGGTGTTATTTTGGTGAAGTTCAGCGTGGAAATGTTCGATGGCCGTAATTGACAACGACAACACTTTAGTTTCATTTTCGGAGTTGTAGCACCGTTTTCGAATTTGATATAGCGATTGATCATTCCTCTTAAGTGACAGGGAAGAATTTCTCGTCTGTAAAAGCCGAAGTTGTCGCTAACGGGAACTTGTATGTCAACCAACACGCAGCATGTGACTTTAAAATCTCCTAAAATGAGCGATAATGATAATAAACAATCAAATCATAGATTAACGAATGTTTTATGCCATACAAAAGCCTTATTTGCAGATTTTAACAAATCTCCAAAGCAATAAACGATAGAAGAAAGAAGATCTGGGGTTAGGCTTTTTTAAAGGCCGGGATCCGAGAATTTGAGATGCAGCCGGATTGCTACCATAAACGGGACACGGGAATCGGTGATTTTGAGGAGCGGGATTCGGGAAATTGTCACAGAAACGAACCGAGAACCGGCCTCGGGATGTCTGATTTATGAATTTATGAAGGAATCGATCTTCTCAGTCCATGAGAAGAACAGGACCATACCTTGAGCGTGTAATGTTAACGTGGGCTATTTTTCAACCATGGCGAGGCGGGGTTACGTCATCTACCTGGGGTCCAGGTCCCCCACCTCTTTGTAAACGGGCCCTTCGTCGCGTGACGTTTGAGAACCTGAAATATTTGATGGAGGAAGTGTGTGAATTAAGGTAATTGATTTTTGTTTATTCGCTGCAGTTGTCGTTCACTTTCCTGAGAGGTAAGAATTATGTTCAGCATAGATAAGAATTTAGCGTTTTATGTAGAGTGTAGCCTCGCTAGACTCCTGCAACGCGAACAAAGATAATTCGGCAAAGAACTCGCTCTCTCCGCTCGATCGAACTGAAGTCAATTTCGATTCCCTGAAGTACTTCTGCCATCATTTTCTGTCAGTTCACTCAAACTCTCTGATATCTTCATATTAATTGACATCCCCAAAGAAGTACAGACAGTTTACAAGGAGGTCCAGCAATTTCCTTTCCTTAACTTTCGACTTCAGGCCAGCTATGCTTCGTGAAAACTTATTTAGGTACTTTTTACCTATGAGACACCAAAAAGAAACCAAAGTGTAAATTCTGTTCCTATCGAAACCGGTGCTCTATGTTCTATTCACGATACAGCCGTCTTTCGACACAATATTGAAGTAATCAGATATTCATACGGTAGAGGAAATACGCCAGTTTAATTTTGAAGCCCGTACTTTTTTACTAGAATTTTTTTCCAGTTACACAGATATGTCAGAGTGTAGACCTGGTGGAAGTGGAAATCAGATGGTTGAAGCCGTTTTTCCCACTTTTTCTGTCGCTAGATTGCGGATTGTTATTTTCCAGCAGACGATTATTTCGCCTGTTTCATGCAGTTTGATTAATAAAAACCTTGTCTTTTCTAGGTTCTCTTGACCGAATCTTCCAGGAACTTCAGCAGATGCAACTCGATGCAAGCAAAGTCGAGAGCAGAGCATATCTATCATTGGGGCTGAGGAATATTGCATCAGACAGGGGCTTCAGAATATCTGACAATCAAGGATTTGGAAATTGCATGTGCTATGCCTTGTCCGAACAACTGGAAATTGTTAAGGGAATCAAAATCCGACATGGCGAATTAAGACAAACCTTGGTCCAGTACCTCAGGAGTAACCCAAAACTTGTAAGTTGATGTTAGTATATCTAACAGAGTATGTCGCGTGATGTTATTTTAAGAATATGATAAAGGTTTAATGATAATATAGGCCACTTGGCCAACACCACCGGAACCTATCTATTTACAGTGTGAAGTGACCAGGAGTACTGTTAATTTTCCTGTTTGGAATGATGGTCTTTTTTCAGGGGCTCTGATACCAACTTGTACCCTCGGTGGAAAAGGAAACTTGAGAGATATAACTTTATTATTCAAGACGCCACACAATAATGTTGGTTACATTTAATTTCATATGTTACTTCATGAGGTGTCCGATAAAGGAGGCTACCACGGAATATTTCAGTTTCAAAAACCTTTCCTTTAAACCTCCATCAGATAACAGAATTTTAGTCGTTCTCTTAATGATGGATCTTTCTGGTTGTTTTCCTGCTGTTTTCAAAGCGTTTAGAATATACACAGACATTTTTGAAGGACGTTTCAATCAGGAAATTTGTTATTATACAGTAAATTGCTAATTAAAGGTCGTCTCGTACCATTCAGATTAAATTACTCCCTGACTCGTACCCCGCGCGCTCTAGTTATTATCAACAATCCTTTTATGTTTTCTTCTTTAACTGATCTTTTTTACAGCCGAATGGAACAGATCTGTTTCACTCTGTTCATGGACATCAAACATGGACTGATTACCTAGTACACATGGAACAAGATGGCGCTTGGGGTGATCACGTCATTCTGTGTGCGGCAGCAAACTACTTTGAAATATGCATACGTGTGGTCAGCAGTCTATCCCATAGCAATGATGTAATCATTACGCCGCATTGTCGAGTTGACGAAAGCAAAGCTCTTGTGTTGGGACATATTCATGAGGTGCACTATGTCAGCCTTCAACCCGTGTAAGGTACAGCTCATTACATTACTCCAGTTAAAAGTGATTTCTGTTTTATAGTGATATTTGTTAGTTAGGATCCTTAATCTTCCTTTTAATACCGAGTTGACAACAGTCATCCTTTTTGTCGTACGATTTGTTACTTTGCTCATTTAACACACCTCTTGAAGTTTGTGGTTTTCATAATTTCATGCTTCATCGCAGGTTCCCACCTCAAAAATCAAACGCAATTCATCACTCCATTGTTCTCCCTTGCCGTTTAATTACAGTGTTCTGATTATTGTGTTCACAGGTTAAAGCGGCAGGCCCCCTACAATTACTCTAATCGGCCCTTGTGAAGAGCCCGGCCTTGCAGAATGACTCCATAGGCCTCCAGACTATTGATGAAAATTGGCGAAATAGAGCTTTCTTTAGTCTGATTTATCCGATGTGAACTTTAAAAGCTTAGATTTAATTAGAGGTTTTATAATATTAGTTTTCCACTGTATCGCATGAAAAGTAAAGCAACCCAAATGACAAGGGGTATAAAAAAAAGACATCACACAGTGAAAAGTTATGGTAACTATACAAAAGTGTACATGTCTATGGGGAACAAAGCATTATCACCAATGTGAAACTTTATTTCGGGGGGCTCGAAACATGAACTCGATTACTCTTAATTTTAGTCGACTAAGAAAAAAATTTATTGCTACGTACCATCTGTATGTACAACTGAATAAAAATTATGTACAATTGTAGTAAACTGGCAAGCTATTCAATGTATTCTTCATATATTAATATTTTTAAAACGTAATCGAGGTAATTCTTATACAATGAAAAAATGGCACCATCAATCACGGTTTAAATCACACTGTACGATCATAATGTTGCTTTAGGCTCTACAGCACCATGATCTCAGCAATACATGGAATAAACAGCCCCTATAGTCATATGCCTTTCCTCCAAATTTAGAAGGCAATCGACAATCGAGATTTTAAGGGGTTAAAGACTCCAGTCTGAACTGAGTTAGTTGGGAAGGTTCCAAATAATGTTACTTCGCTGGAGTTTAACCTGGATTTTTTTTCGGATCTAATCGATGCCAAGTTTTATACGATTGAATTTCTTTTCCTTATACGTTCAACTTCAAACAGGATTTCAGAGCATTTACAGCCATAACTCAACATAGCGCATATAACATTTCAAGAAAATTTTGTGCTCCACGGCTAATTTCGATACTGGTACTGACGAAGCAACCTCCATCATTGATTAAGATCACAAGGTTTCTTTCGTGAGGAAGTCATTACACAGATAACAATTGTGTGATCCCGTAAAGTTGACAACAGAATGTGTCACGACTGGTTTCACTACAGTCACAACTATACCATAAACCCTTGAGACTGTCAATAAGTTATATTTAGCTTCTTGAAAGCCTTCTCGTGTCACGCAACGCGCTTGTCTCTCGCACGTGCAGTTCCATTTCTCGCTAATGCGACACTTTTCGTACGTTGTGCCTAGTTTATCGACATTGGTTTCCTCGAGTGAAGATAAGATTTCATTTGATTGGCTTCTTCACTGTCACTTACGAAGATAAAAAAAAAACGTTCATCGGAGATTGACAGCAATTCTTTTTTCGGAATCAAGTTATGAATCAAACAATAACAGCTGTTTATATCGGTTAGGAACAGGAACTCGGATATTTCACTGAACATCAAATGACGTACAAAATCAGATTTGATTAGCTCCCTCTGGGACGGCATGGCAATTTCCATTCCCTTAGCAGGACTTGAATCTAAGCAACTTGCTGTTCGGGGCAGTTAGCAATATTTCTTCCTTCTACTGGAGCAGTATTCGGCTGAAAATATAGGATTCCATTCACCTAAAAGAAAAAGTTAAAAAAATCTAAATCATATCCGGGTAAAAAACTCGCGACGAAGACAAATACAACGTACACGTACGGAAAGCGCACACCAAGCACCTTTAAGCTATTCTGATTCTTTCCACGTCACAACCATGGATTTAAACATAACGAGAAATTTTGATGGTGGATGTTAGGGCATGCAAAGAATATTATGAATAAGTAATTGGAGCATAAGCTTCATAGATTTGCTATTACCCAGTAAGGTAAGGTAAGCAGTGTAGCCAAGTAGCTCATCTTGACTATCAACTTTGAATCCAGCGTGCTACCCGCCGGGGAAGAGGCCGTGGAAGGAAGGAAGGGGGGGAGGGGGGGGGGGAAGGAGAAAGAAATGACACTTTCATCGATCAAAAAGTCAACCTACCTCAAAATAATCAATACAGCCAGAAAAATCTTGTACAAAGGACGCCGCGTTGTCCACAGCTCTAGGATTGACATTGGACAACTTGCGAACCCCTCCCAAGTAGAAATTGGACCGAACGTCGAGAGCAACAGCCGACCCAGGCGAAGTAACGTACACAGGGTTACCATCATTGATAGCCAAACTTCCATTTTTTGCATTTCGTATGGCCTTGACCGTGTACCACGTGTTCAGACTGACTGTAACGTTACTCACTGCCTCGCCGACGCCCTTGCCAAGGTCATATCTCAACTTGACAAAACTAAAAAAATTATGGAAGAATAACAAATTGAAAGAATCAGAAATGATAACAGAGTGAAATCTCAATTAGAAGTTTCAGTAATGTAACAAACACAAGTGAGAGTCATTCAAAACAGTCGTTCACCCAACAAAAGCTACTAACATAATTTAAGTCTGAGCGAAAAACGTACTTATTATTAAATAAAAGTTTCTTTTTTTTTTTAAACTCGTTTGTGCGATCAAAACCCTACACTCTACTAACTGCCTATTAGGCTAACATAGCAGAAAGAGGGATGAAGGTGAGATCACGAGAGTAAACCAAAAATACCGCTGGTTGTCAAAAGCAGATCATAAGAGCGGATTAAACATGCGCTAATGACTAACAGGCACGCGCGCGAAAGTCAACTTTCTTGCGCGCGTGTAACTCGCGTTCCTGCCGATCGCCAACAAGGCGGGTCAAGTAAAACCTTACCCATTGTGTAGAATGATGGACAAAAAGTCTCCAGTCGTGCTCTGCTCTTCATGGGACACATAAAACAGAATGCCATCCAGCGTTTCCGGTTTAAATCTGATCGTGATCTGTGTGGTAGATCTTATGTTTGTCTTGGCAAACATCATGTATGAAAAATTCTGGAACCGCGGCGTTTGGATTATGATGTCTGCAGTAAGAAAACAAGAAAAAGCGTATCATAAATCGTGCTGATTAAGGAAACATGGAGTTAGGAAGCATTTAAACCGCAGCAAGCGCTGGAGCGGGGGGAGCAAAATTAGTAGATTTACCCTATCCGAAAGATTAATGTTAAATGTGTGATAGAATTCCCCAAAAAGTACCGCACCCTGAGATTCAGAGTTCTTTGAGGCCTAAGCATCCCAAATGCCCGCGGACAGCTCGGTAATTGCCAGAGGATTCCCAGCCTTAAAAAGATTTAAACCCCAAAACCACATACACGACTAAGGCTATCTGAAAATTCGTCTCCCTAAAACATCTTCCATTTGCCAAAAAATAATAAATCAATCAAAATATTTAACGAAATTTAACAAAAAAATTTTCACAAACCTTGACTGCAAAATTGTCCAGTCTTTCCCAAAGGACAATCGCAAATGGTGTTCAGTCCATCAGGACGACATGAACCACTGACGCACGGACTGTAACCATAACATGGCAGGCGTTGATTACCGCAGTACAAACCGGTCCATTCCGCTGGACAGGAACAGATAAATGTGGCCCCTTCCTGAGTGCAGTTTCCTCCATTGAAGCATGGCGGGTTGAGGGTGTTACATTCGTTGTAGCTTTCATTACCGACATTTCTTCCCTTGACAACCGCCCAGTCATTAGCTGCGTCGGCCATGCCTGTCGAAGTTGAAAGTTTGATGAATGAAGTTCCTTTAGCGAATCTAATGCCTACGTCATATATAGAACCATGAAATCCTCCGGTTTTAAATTCCAGCGTACTAGGAAGCTGACGTGTGTTGGGAATACCGCCGATGTAAAGTGGCTCAAACAAGTTGAGTCCCACAAGTGGCGCGGGAGACTCGCCTTCTTTACGAGGTTGGGTGTCAACGTACAGCCAGCCTTGACGCCCATCTCGCCCTGAGACTACTACATGCCACTCTCTGCGCATGTCCACTGGTTCGCTGTAGATCTTTGCACTGCCACTACCAACGTTATATTGCAGTAAGACCTTGTTGTCTTTCAATCCAATTGCAAAAAAGTCATCCCCGCTCCCTACAAAGGAATTCTGAGCGCTGTAAACTAAAAGGCTATCGTTCCAAGATTTTGACGAATTGTCGAGTTTGAAGAGGAAGGTCACGTGAAAGCTGTTCACTGCATCCTTGGGTACTGGGTACTCTAAATATGATGGGAAGCCTTGTACAATGGTGAACAATGGAACTGTTATGTCAATAACTGAGAATAAAAGATAAAAAAAAATCAGAAAAATGTACTTTGAAAAACACAAAAGCTACGTGAATAGCGCCATAAAAAAGGCAAATCGTAAGTTACGTAGTTGAATAAGAGGGATGTTGTATAATTTTAACGAAAGTAATGCAAAAAAGTAATGCAAAAAAATTAATGAAAAAAAACGGAATTATCCACACGGAAACGAACTTCGGCCTCCCGATTTCGCGGAAAGATGCTTACCACCGCTAAACTCATTGTCATATTAATATTTTTTTACGGTTACACTGTACATGCATACATGAATTCAAATCATTCGTTTTTGACAGAATTGTGAGAATTTCCACTGCACAATCATCGATCCATAGCTGCTCCGATGAGGAAGCGGTACCCCCTTACCTGTTTGACACTGCACACCCACTCGACCCAGAGGACACAGACAAATGAAATCGTTGGGATTTGATTCTTTAGGTATACACTCCCCTCCATTGCAATTCTCTGATTTGCAGGCCTTGTGTACTTCACAATTTCTCCCCTCATAGTCCGCTGTGCAATTACATTCGTAATCGAGTACATTGCCGTCAACTTCTGTGCATTTTCCGTTATTTTGGCACGGCATTCTCTGGCAGGCTGGCATATCACCCTCATTGATGTTGAACCAATTTTCAGCATCTAAAAATAGTGTTTGCCCAGTAATTAAAAGAGAAACTTAATGTACGTGAACTTTATAATTTATGACAACACCATAAACAGTAAAATTATGAACTTTCGACTCTGCCAGAGTCTTGGTCAGGTCACGTGACGTGTTACCTTACCAGCCCTAATCAGAGGGTTGATTAAATTAAATAAATGCCCTTCCACAGCTAGCTTCTGGCTCTCTTGACACTGTTCACAAAAATAAATGTTCAGATAAAAGGTCCAGCTAAACTGAGGATTGTTTAGGACGCGGTTTTGTTAAACTAAGTGTAAACCTTGTTTCAATAACCGAGCCAAAATGTTAACTTAAATTCCAGAATCGTTTCATATGTACATCTTCGGTTGATATCCTGTTCGAAATGGGCTGCATTAGAAATGTGCATACGGGGTTGTCATCAAGAAACGCAGTGAAAAGTAAAAAGGGAAATATTCTCCACATTTACATACCCAAACATGTCAGAGTATCAAAATATGATCCTATTGTCTTTAGCAACAAGACAATATTATGACAGAGAAACTTTTCCTATCCTTATGGTATTCACAGAGAAGTTCCTTTGTACCAAATAACACAACCATTGACTAAGATATCAAAGAATATAACTTACCTGATAAATTTATTGTCTCTCCGTTCACTTGCACATCCCTTATTGACCCAACAAAGGATGTTGATGGGGCGGAATTACCTCTTGTCTCACTGCGCATGTCAAAGCCTTGTGGGACACCTCCTACATACCAGTTATTGTACAACTGTATTCCCCGGAGTCTTCCCTTGACAACACCTATAAGTTGCGCACCATTGTTAACTTGTAGAGTGCCAAAAGGTGGTGAGGACGAACTATCATACCTGAAATTTCACAAAAAAAAGACAGTTCTACCCTTCATTCTGTCACTTACTGCTCTGAAACCAACAAAGACACATTAGTTAAAGACCAAGTGTGAGATCAAGATGACCAAATATTGACCAGTTAATTTCTTTGTGTTTTTATGGACCAAATACAAAATTCTCCAAACTAAAATTGTAAGAAATGTATAGAGCACAATTCTGAGAAATTGTATTTTATTTTTGGAGTGAAAGAATTCCACTGAATACATTCGAATGTCATGCCCAGGCCTGGTCATCATTTTGTATTCTTGGGGAACCCTTTTTTCCCCACAGTGCCTCTCTCCACCCAGGAGTACACATGGCTGCAGTTAACTCACTTAGTTAGGGAAATGAAATCCTGATGAAATCTTTTTGGCAGGAAGAATGGGGGGGGGGGGGGGGGTGGGGAAAGGGGGAAGGAGGGTGTTGTAACCTGCAATGAACTAGCAAATATCCAGGGGTAAGAAGAAGCAATAGGCCTGGTCATTATCAAGGCCACAGACAGAAACAGGGCTAAAATCTGGCAGCTATGTGAGTAAGTCTTTAGTGCAGAGTTCACTTTTTTTGCTTGAAAGCACAATATACCTGCATGAAACAAAAAACTTACGTGACTGTTGCTGTTATTATTTCACCAGTGTCCACTCTTTGGTTGCTTTGAATGTACACTAAACTGTCACCAGGATCAAATCGGAACTCAAGTTTACCACCAGTGACATGAAGCTGGATAAAATCACCCCGCTTTTTGGAATCGGCAGCGAAGAGCAGCAGACCTTCAGATGCATTCGTCTTGAATGTTATGTCAATCCTGTTGATTTCATTATTAAATGATATACTCTTGTGTTCCAGGAAAGAGTTCTTTCCAAAAGCTGGGAAGTGAAGATCACTTTCTGCAAAAGAAAAAAAAAACATTGATATAATTCTATATGCTTGCTTAAAACAACTTGGTTACTATTACTGAGGCAAAAGCTTAACCCCTCTTAGTCCTTTAAGTATATAAGGTAACAAAATGATTTCGCATACAATTTGGTGGTATAAAGCAAGAGTAAATTTTTCAAAGATGACAAAATAGCAAGAAGCCAATTGGGTGAGTACAAAGTCTTTGTAGAATTTATAAGTGCTTATTTACACCAAATTACACTTGAAATTATGTTGTTACTTGTTAATTGACATGAAAAACACATTGTAGAAAATCAAAATGGATAAGATTTTCCAGAGTGCACAACTTGTAATTTGCACTTGAGTTGCAAACTTGAACTTGTGTTACAACTTTGCACTTGTGTTACATGAAAAATGCAACTCATTTTCAGCCAATCAGATGTGCATAATTTTTTCATGCATATTATTACATTGTGTTATGGTTAACTTGCACTTTCTCCCTATAATATTCATATATTATCCAGCAAATAGGTAATGAGACTACTCAAAATAAGCAAGTAGAAGTTTTATCTTGATCTAACACTAAATTCTTGTAACTACCTCACAAAGAGAGGTCTAGAAACAAGAGGGGAGAATATTAAACAATCAAATCTTATGAGTTGCATATAAAAGGTTAAAGAGAACAGCTGTCTGCTGAAGAAAATTTCATCTTGAGTAAAGAGAAAAAGCCTTCAGTTTTGGTGTCTATATCCACCTAATAGGGGTTTCAACTGATTCTTTTTCATTTTCAAACAGTAACAGCAGAAGGAAAATGTTTAGGACTTAGTCAAGTATCCACTTAAGACAAGGCTGGCTTAAAATGAAGCTTATATATAAACATTTTATTGCAAGTGGTGTCTTTTAGATAAATTTTGTGCATAGTTTTTACCACAGAAACTACACTGCATATATGTAGATTCCACACCTAAAAGGTATTGCAAACATCCCTGACTGACTAAAATAGTCTTGGAGCTAGTCAGCTTTGTCTAGAGTTTAAATTACTCTTCAAAAAACCACATTAACAAAACAGTGATGAGAAAAAGTTTGATCACTACTCACCAGCTACACCACGACAAACAGGTCCAACTGTTGGATAAGAACATTCACAGCGGAACTCAAACTGTAAGTATGGCTCACTAAAGCATGTTCCATTGTTACAAGGATTATGAACACATGTCTGGTTAATCAGAGGTACAGTGGTTGGAATGGGTGGCATTGTTGGAACCACAGATGATGAAACAAATGAGGTACTCATTGACGAAGATATTGCAGTGGTTGACCTGAAAGAGACAGTAGACATTGATGGAAGGCCTGTTGTGATAGCTAAAGGCGTCGTTACCTCAAAGTGAGATGCCATAGAAGGAGCTGAAGATGTTGAAGTGTTCCCAGAGAATATGACAGTTGGTGTCACTGCTTGTGATGATGTCAATAATAATATAGATGATGATGAAGAAAAAGATGCATCTGGTCCTAATAGCGTTGAGGTGCTCCTGGAAAGTACAGTGGTTGGCATCACTGCTAGTGATGATGCCAAGAAAGATGAAGATAAAGATACATCTGGTCCTAATGGTGTCAAGGTGCTCCTGGAAAGTGCAATAGTTGGTGTCACTACTAGTGATGATGCCAATAATGATGACGATAAAGATACATCTGGTTCTAATGGTGTTGAGGTGCTCCTGGAAAGTGCAATGGTCGGTGTCACTGCCAGTGATGTTGGTAATGATGAGGATGATGATGAAGAAAATGATGCAACTGGTCCTAACAGTGTTGAGGTATCTCTAGAAAGTGCAATTGTTGGTGTCACTGCTAGTGATGATGCCAATAATGATGACGATAAAGATACATCTGGTTCTAATGGTGTTGAGGTGCTCCTGGAAAGTGCAATGGTCGGTGTCACTGCCAGTGATGTTGGTAATGATGAGGATGATGATGAAGAAAATGATGCAACTGGTCCTAACAGTGTTGAGGTATCTCTAGAAAGTGCAATGGTTGGTGTCACTGCTTGTGATGATGCCAATAATGATGATGACGAAGATGCATATGGTCCTAATAGTGTTGAGGTGCTCCTCGAAATTGCAATGGTTGGCGTCACTGTTAGTGATGATACCAATAATGATGATGATAAAGATGCATCTGGTCCTGATGGTGTTGAGGTGCCCCTGGAAATTGCAATGGTTGGTGTCACTGCTTGTGATGATGCCAATACTGATGACAACAAAGATGCATCTGGTCCTAATAGCGTAGAGGTGCTCCTGGAAAGTGTGATGGTTAGTGTAACTGCTTGTGATGCTGGTAATGATGAAGAAAAGAATGAAACAGGTCCTATATTAGATGCAGACACATACATGGATGACGTCAAGTGCAATGATGATGTCAAGTGCAATGATGGAGCCAAGGATGAATTAGTTACGACACTTTCCATGATTGCATTTGACTTGGTAACTGAACTAACAGTGTTATTTCTAGTCTGCATGGAGGGGCCAGCTGGTGAAAAAGTTCCAACAGATGTGGAGAAGGCTTCTAAAGATGATTCATATACATTTGAGGTAAATATGCCTTCAACTGAAGAATTAATTGCAGTGCTCAAAACTGACTGTGGAAAAGTCAATGATGAAATTGAAGGTGAAGGTGCTATTTCTAATTCAGTGCTAGAAATCACTGACCCCGGAAGTGATGATATCCTTTGGGATCCTGTTGGCCACAATGTTCCCACCACTGAGGTGCCAGTAATCATTGTGCTTCCTTGAGACAAAGACTTGGGAACTGAAGATGACAACCTTGTGGCATGAACTACAGATGAGGAAACACTTTGCATAACAAAACTAAAATTCCCAATAAATGAAGTAGGAAACACAATTGTCGATATACTTGTTATAGAAAGCATTGTAGAGGTTGACAGACTTGATGATCTAGTGACATTTTCTGTGCAGTTTCGTCCAGTAAAATCAGGGAGACAAGTACAAGTGTAGTTTTGACGTTTAGTTCCAGATCGTTCACATGATCCACCATTTTTGCATGGGTTATTGGCACATAGGTCTGGAATGGCAACATGACAGTTTGGGCCATTAAATCCTGGGTCACACAAGCATGAGTAAGCATTGATGTAATCCACACAAAATCCATTGACACATGGACTGGAGCTACATTCATCAATATTTGTTTCACAGAAAGTTCCCGTGTATCCAGGTATACACGTACAATTGAAACTATCAGCAATGCCATCTTTGATATCTGTACATGTTGCACCATTTTTACATGGATTTCTACTTGGGTGACAACTGTCAAGTTCCTCGCAGTATCTCCCTTTGTATGCATCACAACAAACACATGTATAATCACGGGTAAAAAAGGTCTGACTGGCACTGCTACAAAGACCTACTCCACTGCAGACACCCAGGTTTGGCAAGGCTGGATTCGTACAGTTTGGCTGTTGACGACTGCGCACATATAGCTCAAGTCTTATGCCAAAACTACAACTAAAATCATCATTTTTTGCAATAAAATATTTGATCCCTGGTGGAGTTAAATACTTTGATGGAATTTGGAATTGAGATGAAGTAAAATTTTGAAAAAGTTGTCCACCTGAGTCACAGTTATGGAAGGTGTCTCTGGACACATTGAGGAAATTTACCCCAATCTCTTTTGGTTTAATGACAACAGTATCTCCATACACAACTGTTTGAGGTTTTTGTCTTGGCCCGGGAAGAAATCCTAACGGGTCACTCTCTCCGTAACATTCACCCGCAGTTGTGCAAATATGGCCGTTGTGACCCAACTCTATGACCGTAGTTACTACGGTACTGTTAAAGCAGTGGTGTCCAGAAGGACATTGTAGAATACAAAGTGAGTTCGACACTATGGACGAGTCGTTCTGAGCATGGACAACACTGAGTCTCAAAACAACAACCCATAACAAGGCTAAAATATATACCATTCGACGAAAGTCGAAGTGTAGCGAAGACGGTAACATTGTCGTTCAAACGAGTTCAATTTCTTTTCACCTTCACGAATCCACCCGAACCTTGAAGTTTCTTTCACAGGTCAGTAGCGCTCTAGTTTCGTAACAATTATGGTATTTACTCTGTAAAACCAGCCTTCGAAATTTCTCGCATTCTATATGATGTCTGTAGCTTGCTCACCATTTCGTGTAAATTGTCTCTTTTCCACAAAGCACCTTCTCACAAGGCTGATTAATAAATCTTGGCGAATTCAAACTTCACATTGAGGAAACAGCTGTCAAAATATACCGTCTTCAAGTGTTCCAGCTCGCGTTCCGCAAAATTAACGTTCTCACCACTAGATGTAGCGACCATTCGCATTCCAGCTTGTGGAAATCGCTATTTTACACGTCTCACTCGAAGAAGTTGATAAATCCTAAACTGTATATGGCTGCAAATAGTTCCAACGGTTTGACTCGAACAGCTGTGCCAAAATGTACCTCTTGTAAGAAGTTTCGAAAGCAGATCTTCGCGAATCAAAAATGGCGTTCAATGATTCACAAATCTTTTCAGCAGTTACTACTGAAAGCTGTCCCACGTTCGGCAACTCCTCGCGAAATATTATATATTTTATGCATGTATCACCTCTGTGGTTACTGGACGAAGCTTTTTAAAACTCAAAAATGTGATTTAAGATGCTTGGCGACCGTTTGTTTCATTATTTCAATAACAATGGTTGTTAGGATCTGGTGTTCTATTGTGGTTGGTTTTATCGCGCGCTCTGATTGGCTAATTTCTCTACCACAATTTAAAACGGAACGTGTGATCTAAACTTAGAGCTCACATCATTACTTGTAGTAAAATTCGTATAATTATCGCTAATCACCTCAATTCGGAAAAATGTTAAGTTTTAGAAACGTTGGCTTTTGTTTAGTTCAACAATCTACCAGTCACAAAAACAAGACCCTTGGAGACATAATTTTTCGATTTCCGTTTCGGCTTTCACGCTGGTGAAGATCGGATTTCAAATGTATGCCGGTATTTAACGGCTAATGGTTTTGTTTGTTTATGCGGAGTATAATGAAAGAGAAATGCATTTCAATAGCAATAATATCACCGCCTTGCCTCTCGACTTGCGTGATGAAATTTACCTCTATCGGTAACTTTTAGATTGTCCAATTTTTAACGATGTAGTTTGGACTTCACTCTGAGCTGGAGTGCTCGTTATGTTCGTCACGAAACCATTTTCGTAGTGCCGCGTAACGACAGTTACCTTTGCCACCTTTCTTACAGATATCACGCAACACTTTCTTCTTGAGACCGGGATGAGGCTAGGTACAGGCAGGGTGGGCTGGAACTTTGTTCGGGACATTTCATGAAAAAGGCTGCAACGGGAGACCAGGTGTACCTCTTTCGTGTTCCCCCTTTCCACTCGTCACTCCCCTTCATTCCCATCCCTCCCATCCTTCTTAGAGCTTGTCACGCAGGTTATTGTGCCCGGAAAAGACTGGATCGTTATTCAGGTCCAGTCTTTAGAGCGCTTAGTGTGAATGTCACGTGTTACAGTGCACCGTTTACAATTGGTTCCTGACCAAAGACTTGTGTCCAGTATCATTTTTAAGTGTATCCATAGTCAAAAAGCCTTCATTTGAGGAAACATCATCAGCCTCTCCTCAGGATACAGTGAAGCGCAAGTTAAATACAAAGGTCTGGGTGCTTCTCAAGCAACCACCGGTACGTTAGGGTATGTAGACATTAGCGTTTAAGTAAGACTGTGATCTGTGGTTAATCTTTTAAACTGGTTGATGTAGTTTCGAGCTCCATTTCTGACGCAACTGTGATTGGGATCAGCTGCAACTGTGATTGGGATCAACTGTTATGTTTGAAAGGAAATTGGAAAAACCGGTGGCGTGAGATTTATTGCACGAAAGCATAGTTAATGTTTCCTTTTCGATTTCAGTAATATTTACGTGACATAACCTCAAACGTAGCTAGAAAAAAAAATGCACAGCTTGCATGTTTTCAAGATAAGTGGTATTTTTGCCCTTTCGGCACTTTCAGTTTCGAATGGTTGTGAAAAATTCGGTCTCGCTTGACTAATCGTTTTCATCACTTTGAGGCAGCTAGTTTTGCTTTCATCAGCAAATTTATCGTCATGGGAAATATTTAGGTAAAAAGAAGGGACGATCAAAGTTCATGGGACGAGGAAGAACTACCTTTTTGTTTCCAGTTTCATTCGCAAACAACGACTGCCCAAAGACTCAGTCAAGGCATTAGTGAATGACAGTATTAACTTTGACCCTAGGTTTTTGAATTATTAAGAGGAAAACCGCAGGAGCGAAAATAACCCAACTCATCATAGCCATTCGGTTGTGTTTTCTGTGTCTAGTGTCGTTTCCTACTGGATACAATATGAGGTAAGCTTTTATTTTAATTTGCCCGTTTTTGAGGCGAACAGATCGCACGCAAGCCTATTTTTGCATGCGTGTCAAAGGGTACTTGTGCCTTTTCGCATTCATGTTGTATTACAAACTAAACGTGTCATGCAGCACACTCCTTGAAACAAAGCCAAATAAAAGTTACCGTGTCTGCAATTGTTTTTCTAATTGAATATGCGCATATCTTCAAATTTGTGACACGAGCGGCGTGTAGTGGCATGGCATATACGTGCTTGTGCGCACATCTTTGTGCACGTTTTCCCGTGGAGGATGACAGTTTTCCTTTTTGATCACCTGTAAAGAAACAAATTTCACTTATCAGGAGGACATGAAAACGATAGCCGTGTTTTTAAAACTTTCGAAAGTTGTGTTCGGTTGAAGTGGAATTCAATTATTATCAATTACAGATAATATCCCTTCGATAAGTTCCACTGTCTGTGTGCACTTTCGCCGCTTTTGACTTACATTAACAATAATAAGTTGCGTATATTTTAACTTTTCGCGTAATTTATCACAGCTGGTAGAGACTGATCCCTTGAAACCAATTCGAGCTGTGATAGACGCAAAAACAATCAGTTTCTTGTCACGATTGAGTCACCTGTTTAAACTTCTTCGAGATCAAGTACTTGAAACTAAATTAATATTTAGAATACAAAACCAGTTAGCATTAACGAAGAGTCCTTACTTTCGCTCTCTCGCATCAATTTTCGATAACTGAGATCCTTGTGATTAACGTGCCGACGCTTTCTGTGCACTTTCATTTTCGTTTATTATCGTCGACAGGAATTAACAAATTCTGCTTTTGTCATCATTATTTGGCGACTTAGAACTGAATTGCCCCTATTTTTTGAATAAGCTGCACCAGTGCTCACAGTTTTGCCTAAAATTATGGCTTTCGATCTCCAGTTGGGTACGAGACTACTAAAGTGACGTCCTGAACAGGCCCATCCAAATAGATCTAATAACAAGTGCCTGAACAAGCCCATCCAAATAGATCTAATAACAAGTGCCTGGTGACATTTCCTTCGAACCAGTAGGCCTTAAAGGGGCATTTCTTTAATTTACGTTCATTTGTAATCTGAAAACAGTCTTAAAAAATTTCAGCGTTTACCGCCCGAAAAGGCATTTATGTCAAAGAATGTAGTAGTCTCGGGGAGCGTTGCGTGACATCCTAAAGAGCAGCTGTGAAGGGGACTAAGGATGTAGCGAATCGTAACTCTTTTGGAATATTTTAGAGGACTCAGATGTTTCCTTCGTCTCATGCTAGTTACAATATTTAATATATTTCTTTACCTAGTTTTTCATCTAGTTCAGGCTCAGGCGGAAACTTTCCGCACGACATCACAAGCAAACAGGGCCTCACCGATTTATACAACTCTGGAGTGACTAAAGTAGAACACGTGACCAGACCCATTGAGGGGTCGGGAGGGTTTTTTGGTAGGAAACACTCTGGTGTAGTGGTGACATCTGACAGCAGTGACCGCTGGTTAGTGCATAAGGGCCCAGGATACGGAGACTCAAGTAAGTTTCATTTATAAACAACATCAGCAGGTGACTGATGTCCTCGTCCTCGTCGCCCTACTTTTCTGGGTCGAATTTATACGCGCTAAGACGGCTTATCATAAGGCTCGATGCGTTCTACAAAGGAAAATTTACCTCATTTCGTATTTGTTGTCTTCAGGTGAAACGGTTGTTACAAATGCCAAGCACATGAGTGGAGACTGGCAGTCGGGAGGTGTCCAGTCCGTGAAGCCTGGGACTAGGGTGGCTGATTACGTCAAAGCAGGGGGGTCCGATTACAACTTAGCCTTTGACAACTGTCACGATGCTTCCAGAAGAATGATGAAGGAGGCAATGAAAGATCGCTAAATGATATATAACAATGAGATCTTGATTTCCGGAGACGTTCCAAATTTTGTTGCACTTCAGCTTGCTTTACAGCTCCAATTATGAGATCTCTTAAAATTGAATTTGTCATGAATAATAATCATTTGGTAATGTGTTCCATTAGATTAAGATTTTTCTCTCGCTGACTGATTCTAGGAATTATGAATTGTTTTGCTCGATGAAGTGTTGCGGAAAGTTGACAACCGTCGGTTTAATGAAGCATCTTCTATGATAAAAACAAATTTCAACAGCTTAACGCGTTAGACATTTTTAGGCTCTAGTGTAAATGAGGCATTAGACGTTGGGAATAACAAAACGTGTTTGTCGAGGTTTTTCTGAATTATCATTATGGTTAGGTATGAAATAACTCATCAGTGTAACGCGAACCCAAGATCAAATAAAATATATCTTTCTTTACCACCGAGTTCAAAAAGTTACCATTTTTCTTATTCTGTTTACGCAAGTGGCACTTTTAACATTGTTGATCCTAGTATTATGCAGGACGAGTGTAACATGAAATTTACGTGCTAGCCTTGCCCACCGCAGAATCTCTAAGACTCAGTGGCAGAGTAACGGAGCCCGGAATCAGATGCCTCAATAGTCCATTTTACAGTTACGTGCTTGGTTGCCAAGCCTTTAAACACATTGAGGCTAAGGGTTACCTTGTTTTGATACAAACCTTGCTGCTTTTCAAATGTATATTACTTTGTTATCGTGCTAACTAGATACTGGTCTCTATCGCAACATGGTCAACTTCAGCCTCACTCCAAATCAAAGACTTAGCAACTAACTACACAACTGTAAAATGGCCTATTCCTCAGGAGCTCAGATTTTATTTGTCTCACGCTCGTGACAAGACGAAAAACATCTTTACTTGTCTGAAAAATATCTTTCAGAACCGAGCAACCCACTCAGTTAAAAATAAGAGAGATAGCTCATTTCTTAAAACATCACCTTAGACTTGCTGCGCTGAAATATTTTGGATCGACTCTTAATTATGTGCATTTGACATTGGTTACGTGTGTCGTCACCGAAACCTCGTGGTATTTCATCACTGTACACTTAGCTTACTCTCACAAGTTCCTCAACGTAAAGGTACGTTAATCCTCCAGTAACTTGAGATTCAATCAGCGACTTACAGTGGAGGAATTTTGTCGTTTAGTTCAAAGTAAACAATATTCTTCTAAAGGTGTCGGTGCAGACTCTATTCTACGTCAACCAATTAAAGAAGCGGATTTACAAACAGCTTCATGATGAATGTCATGTAAGACATCGGCTAATATCACAAATCAACAAGCGTAAATTATCTTCTCAAGGCTTAAGAGAAAGCGAAAAACGCAAAACGCGAGACTTCTTTTGTTCTAAGACATGCCAAAACAGTAAATCTAATATAATTTTACCGATAATATTTTCAACGTGGTCTGCCGTACTCTACTGTCTCTCCTCTAAGCGGCGACTACTTGAAAGCGAAAGTTCAGTGCCTTGCCTAAAAATTAGGTTCTTGCCTTGCATCTGCGCGCTCGTTTCATCTTTGGCAACTCCACCGCCTAAAAATTAGGTTCTTGCCTTGCATCTGCGCGCTCGTTTCATCTTTGGCAACTCCACCGTCCTCGGCTCAGCTAGCATGTTGCTCACTACAAGCTAACTAATCATCGTCAGAATCATTGTGAAGAAAATCATGGAATGTCGAAGTTTCATCGCCGTCCGAGTTTTCACCATCGGCCGAATTTCCGTCTTCGACACATTTTCGAGAAGTCGATGGATCGTGCGAGGATCTCTTTCGCCGTTTTCTTCGGCGTTTCTTCACCTCGCTTCCATCCGCTGATCCTTGAGTGTTGTTTTCTGAACGTTGTGACGAATTCTGACGCCGAAAACATCGTTGGCAAATTTTCACAGTCGAGTAATCTCCAATTAAAACTGTACCATTTCTGATCAAGTCCACGTTTATCACATCTACATCGGTGGCGTCGATGACTTGTTGTCCATTAAAATCACAACATCGAGGGTTGATTATTTCCATTCTGTTATGTCTTTTAGCAGCAGTACTTTCAGAATTGTTGTTATGAGGTTCTTGATTACTATTACACTCGGCCATTAAAATCTAAATTGTATTTTCTCCACGTTGTTCGTAGATGGATAAATTTAAACCCATACGTCTTGCTTTTGTGATATCAAATCGTCAGTGATATTCTTCGTTACAACGGATTCGTTCAGGGTGAAGGATGTATTTCGAAACTGTATTTATGCATCAAAATATGGTTCTTTATGCAAATGATATTGCGTCGTGTGTTTTTTTCGGTTGGAGAAAAACATGATATAAAAAGAAAGTGATGTCACATCATGCCTGATAAAAAATTAAAAATAACGTCACGGTGGCATTTGGCTGCGAAGTAGTCTGGCTGCAAAGTATTTGAGTTTGAGAACTAGACTGATCATTCTTAGTGAAAACTGTTATTGCGGACAGCTCACGAACAAAGACCATACTCAAAGAGTTGAAGCAAAATCGAATCAACTCGGGCGAATTTCTAAGAATCGATTGTGTTACAACTGAAGTAAAGTAAGGATTGATCAAAACAAGATCTTTGTTATGGTCAGCTTTCAATTTGTCTGAAACGACATCGTAAAAATAGACAGTTACGGCTTTCATCACGGAGAAAATTTTTAGTTCAACTTTAATGACAAAGGAAACGCTTAAGTATAAACAAATGAATTCTAGCTGTTTAGCTTCCCAATATTTTAGGTTTGTCTCTGGCTTTAAATTCAATCCTAAAAAAATTATTTATTCTTCATAAACTACATTTGATCACACAATAGTTGAAAATTCGAAATAAGCGGTACTATTTCATTGCAAATAAACTTGCGCTTGTAATATTGATTTACAAATGTCCTTGTATTTGATTCAAATCTTTAAGAAAGTCTATTTGTTCGAAACCCGTCTCTGCACCGGAAATTGTTTCTGCCAGTGCTTTTTCTAATTCCTCTGTTAGGAACCGAAACCTTTTAGAGCCTAAGCACTCCCTTTCCAACCTCTTCATGAGGTGTTCATCGTCGTCTACCTTGATTTCGCGAGCTATCAGTGTGTCAAGTTTGTCTTTCGCCATTTTGAATCGTCCTTCATAGTAAAGTAGAAATGCTTCGGCCAAGTAAAATTGGCATTTCAAGGCTGGAGAAATACGATTGAAGAGGATTTCTACTGATCTCAAATTCTCTCGCACCTGTGTCAAATTTCTGTTTTCATTTTTTCCCTTGCAGCATTTCAATAAGACAGATGCCTTTCCTAAATAACAAGATATTTGAAGTAGAGCCTCATTGTTGCTCGACTCTAAAGCTCTCTGAAAGTAACTCAACACCACATCGTCTGGGTTTTGGTCAGTAAGCTGGGTTTCAGGAGCAATTTCAAGTTCGTTTTCAACGGTGGTAAAATCTTTGGAAAATTCTAAGCAAAGTTCCATAACTTTGGCTATTTTGGCGTAGAGTCTGCCTTTTTGACTTTCGAATCCTTCACGCAGTGTGAGATCTCTCTCCAGTGCTCTCAAACAGTTTAAAGCTTCAAGATAATCTTCCTTGATGTAAAACTCTGCTAATGCAAACTGCAGTTCAATTTTCAGGGTCTGGTATTTTTTCTTGTCTTCCTCTTCCATCAGCGACATCATCAGTGCTGTTCGAACGGCGTAATCAAGTTTTTCAATGCAGTTTGGAATTGAACTTTCTCGAAGTCTTCGGCCATCTTCTTCCATAGGCTCTATTACCGACTCGAAATCATCCAGGTCTTGTATTTTGGGAAGCAAGGACGGTATAAGTTGTTTGAGCCACTGATCAATGTCTTTCTCCTGTCTCTCATTGTCTGTAAAATCTGACAAACGCAAAGGAAATTGCCATTCTGCTTTCATTTTTCTTGAGGAATTCTTTTTCAAAGCATGATTTTTGCCACTTTTCTTCTGTGAAGATCGCTTCCTCCGTTGTTTTCCTGGCGAATAGACCGGGTTTCTGATACCTCCATCGGCTTGCAAGAGAGAATCACTTTCATTCGATCGGGAAGAGGTTGAATTTGACCTATTATTCTGATTAAACAAATCTTTGTCACAGCAGATGTTCACTTCCGCGCGATCGCCCACTACTACGTTTTCACATTTTTCTACATTGAAGTTTACTTTGGCTGATTTCTGGTGTCGCAACGAAATACTCCTAGGCTGAAAATTGAAGTCGTAGAAAGTAATGTTTGTTGTGGCTGTCAAAGAGCCCACGTCATCTTGTGGCGAAATCATTCCCACTTCCGCTATCGTTTTCGATTCAACGTTGTCGTGTAAGTTCCTTGGATTTTCATCTGTACTCCGAACTGTTTGCAGTACAGCCTCTAGATTGTGTAATCCCTCTTCTGATTCCATGATGAAGGCCAACTTCTCTGTCAATGGGACACTGCTTACTGCCGCATTTCTTGTATCATCATGGCTAATCGTAATCTGTTCATTTGAGTTTAAGTGATCGCAAGTCGGTTCTTGTTCTTCTTCGTATTCGATCGTTTCATCCATTACAACGAAGTTGTTGCTCTAGTAAAACTATAATTAGAAGTCCTGGCTTTAAACAGACGCAGCTTAATTCTGCGAAAATAAATACGGCGTTCACACTCGTGATTGCAAATCGAAGCAAAATATTTCGCGAAATACAGGAGCGGGACTGGAAATGAGAAGCAAGGACTCAAGCATATCCAGCGGTGTTCAACAAAAAGCACTTTTCTCTCCCCGAGTCCTTTTTTCAAAGTGAAATGTGAGATGTTGCCTGCCCCAATCACTAACTGCCGTATTACTTACCTAACAACTGGCACCATATTTTAGCTCTGATTTTACTTCCTCGTCGTTCGATAATCTGGTACTGCAGGAAGCTAGAAGGAGATCATCTAGGGCTATTGTGTGAAAACGGTCACCTTCTCTTACTAACAAAGTGAGCTTTCGCAGGCATCCGAATAGTGATAATAATAATATTGCTAATAGCAATTACATGCAGTCTGGGATTTTGGCTCGGGCGAGAGTCGTTGGGAAGCTCTAGAAAATATGAAATATAAGTTTAAGAGAGGGAGTGGGGAAGGAGGCTCGAGCTTTGCCAAGTTCACTTTGTTTTTCGTTTGAAAGACAAGGCAGCTCTCCTACTGCTTCTCTCTGACCAAGAACATACATTGGCGCTGGTAACCTGTCTATGAAACCTGAGGGTTTGCTGAGCAGATAAAGTCATGGTCAGCTTCCACTTTAACTGAAACGATGTCGGGATCGATATCAGTATCTGGGCAACTGCCCACCTACCCCTCCCCTAACTCAACAACAATCAATTGACAACAAGTTAAGGCTAATGTTGGGTTAGGGGAGGGGAAGGTGGGCAGTTGCCCAGATACTGATATTGATCCCGATTTCGAATGAACAGACAATC